TAGAACATCAACAAACATTTACTTGAACTCGAACCGAACTTTTGGTCAGGTTCGAGTCTGGTTCGAAATTCGAACCGGACTCGAACCAGACTTTTAATTAGGTTCGAATTTTCGAACCGGACTTTTCGGAACCCTATATTATATATATTAAAGAATGATAGAATATTTATAATACAAGAAAAAAAGTTAATATTATAAAATATTTCTAAATTTGGTACTAATTATAAATGAATTATATATTATATAAAAAGTTATAGAAAGATATTTGCTGATAAAAATTAAGATTAAAATTTATGAAATTAAAGAATTTAATATCATTATAATAACAATACTAAATAAAATATTTTATAATAATTTTATTAATCTAATATAAAACACTTTCAAGTTGTAACTGAATAATTTTAAGATTTAGTTTTTTATTTGAATTTAATGCAAATTTGCTTATAATTTTTATTTTAATTAGTTATTTAATTATTTAAATATTTAATATAAAATAAAAATTTTTAGTATATATATTTATTAAATATATTTTTTATAACAAGTTAAAAATATTATTTTTATAAATTATTAATTAATTAAAATTCTCATATATATATTATATTATATCCAGTATTAGTAATTGAACTAACTGAACTTATAAAAAATTATATTAATAGATCACTAAGTATCTAATCAAATTTTAAAGTAATATTATTCATTAATAAATTTACATATATCTGACAATTTTGCTCAATTGATTGAACACAACTAGAGTAACTAAGATTTAATAATTCAATTTTTACTTTCACAATATATAATTATTCATTTTTGTTTTTAATATATTGAATTTGTAAAAGATTAAAAAAATTAAAATAATATTTAAATAAGGTAATATATATTATATATAGGATCAACCACAAATGTAGTTTCTCACGATAAGTCTGTAATTATTGGATTAGCTAATGGTATTGGAGTTCTGAAAATAATTGCTATTGGTTTAGCAGCTTTCTTTATTCGAAAATGACGAAGAATAAATATTTTGTCCGATAACAACTGTATTTCTTCCGTCACTGATATGATAGTGATACTTCTTAGATTTCAAAAATAAAGATGTTATTTATTAGCCTCACTTTTAAACAAATGTATAAATGTGTAGAACCCTAGATTTATTTCTAATAAAGTTTTTGCTAGTCAACATATGGGATCTGCTATTAATATGACCCAATAATATACAACTACCACAATATATAATTTGCGAAATGCTTCCAAGAACTAGTTGCTCCTTCATACACAAGAAAGCTATATTTTTTAGGTCACTACCAGTATCGTTTTTCATTACCACTTGGTCAAAACATTGAACAATGAAGAATGTTCAATCACCAATAATAAGCGAAAAGTATAAAATGAAGAGCAAGATCATCCGAGATACGTATATTATGCAGTTTTTTGATCTTGAGAATTTTTTCGCTATGTTCGGCGTGCAATTAATATAAAAATTATTTTATTTTTCGAGTGGTAGAATAAGCATCAGAGACAACTTCACCAAAGCTTTCTAAAAACACTATTAAAAGTTTAGGAAGAACCTAAGCTATCATTCCATGCAAAATAAAACTATCTTTATAGATATTAATTTTATCTCAAAAACTAGGTTTGAAACTTTTTGCTTTTCGAATTACGAATTAACATTTGATCGACATGTTGACACTGGAATTAATTGATTATGACAAAATAACGATAAAGAGTTCTTCACGTAACCTCGATATTCTTCCTATTTTGAAATGATATAGGCATCATAAACTGAAACTTTATTTTATAATTTATTTTTTTAATAGCTTACATGTCAATGAGCACAGATGATGTTGGATCATATGAAGAAATTTGCAGATGAGTCTCGTCAGACATTTAATTTGTTGGAGAGACAAATGAGAATTTCTCTTATCATGTCAATTGCATGTAATATACAATAAAAAATTGTTTACAGAGGATTACCATGCAGAACAATGATCAATTTTAATCAGTTCCGTGTGTATTGTACTAGCAGTGTTGGGAATTTGGATAATTAAAATATTTGACATTTACAATTAACTTTAAAAATATATAAAATTATATACAGTCAACTCTATACCGAACTGAACGGTTCTAATAGTAAAAAATTTTCAAAAGTTCGTTATAGAGCAAATTACTATGTTTTTTATAACGAACTTATAATAAATTTTTACAAAAAAAAGTTCGTTATAGAGTGTATTCGTTCGTTATATCAGAGTTGACTGTACTCAATACATCTACTTAAATATGCAAGACTTGTTTTTGTTTTTGTTCATAAAAAGTTTTGGACGTCCAATTCCCAACATTGCTGTACTATATTCTGTACTGAACTACGTATTTCGTTTATTTTACTGGAAAAGTGTTAGGGTATGGATTCGGAGTATAGCGATAGGTTATCTTAAAAGATTTTTCTAAATACATGTACATGTAGCATAGAACAATACAACAAACAACAATATAGTTTATGCCATAACTTATGTAATGATTTTTTTTACAATACAGGAATAACTTTTTGTAAGTTAAAAATAAACGTTCAATTTTCCATTTTAGGGAGTTGGCTAAAGCCGATAAGGTTAGGGTAAGGGTTAGGATTAGAGGACAAGGTTATATATAAAATCGCCTTCCTAACATTTTAGTCTTCCAAGACAGGTTTAAGCATCGGATTTCTTGTAATATTCACATTTCTCGCATTTTTCATATCTTGTTTTGCTCGGTTGATCAAAAATGTGCGCATTCTTCTTGATGATTGACAAAAATTTACGCACCCTATTGGATGGATTACACGTATTCACCAGGTTTTAGCTAACGCTAACCCCCATTTTAGGACGAACAAAGAATGATCATCATTAGCAACAATAACGATAACATTCCATATTCACATTACATAATAGCGATAGAAAGATTGGTTTGATCTGACAAAATAGGTATGATAATCTTATTGATAATTAGTGCAACATGAACTTTATCGTTATATCGACAAAATAGGTAATCTTTACGTAGTGCAACACAACTTAAAAACATGAACTTAATACATGTACGTACATATGTATTTCAAATCTGTACACGTTCGTGCATACACATGACATACAAGTTCCTCTTTTTCAATTTTAAATCCAACTACATTTCTAAAATCTATTTCTTTAGGGCGTATAGGATCTCATTACATGTATACGTGATAGACGCTAATCTTTCTCTTGAATGTCAACTCCTGAAGAGGAATACGAACACGGATAGCCCAAATAGTGAGAATCTCATTTGGTCGAACTATTCTAAATCTATTATATGCCTTTGCGATTCCATAGAGTTGATTTAAATTATTATCAAAACTATCAGAGAGATCGGCCTTGCAAATATATACCTTCATAATAGAATCCAGGTTTATTAACACGTTTTTGTGTAGTTTTAGTGGTTTGAGATATATTTGTGTTATAAGATATATCTGGATCTATGTTATGAATCATCTATTCATGATTCAAGTTTTTTTTAGCTATGAATTTTTTCCCGATAATATAAATAACATCCTATTCATCACTCCTTATTGAAGAGCTGGCCGTATTCAGTTGATATGAAGTTGAAATGAATTGCGTACCATATCCAGTTGTTTTGAAGTTAAAGTGGATTCGAATATGACACCTGGATATGAAATATTAGATAGTCATCAAATCTAAGCTTTTAAATGGTATAATTTTATAATTTTATATATTTTATTATATAAGTTTCTGAGAAATTAATGTAAATTGAGTGTGCTCTAGTAAGTATATAATTTGAATTCAATTCGAATTATAGAGTCATTCAAATTATGTTTTAGATTCAAATATTTGAAAGATACAAATCGAATTTTCGAATTCAAACTCCAAAGTTAAGTCTGGATAACATTGATTCTGTAAGCACTAAAACTTTGAAGCAAATCCACTGTGAACCATTACACCTATCCTCACAAGTGAAACAAATACATGTACATGTACTTTACTAAAAAGTACATGTAATAGGCTAAATCAATGTAACATAACACCACCATCTTAAATAAATGTAACATGTCGGTACAGAATTTATAAAATGTAAAATGTGTCACCCAGACTGAATACTATACGTGTATAAATACATGTAATGTAATTGCGTTGAAGAAACTAAAATAATTCATTATTGTTATATACATGTATAAACCTATTAGCAATTTTGACGGTATTAAAAGTCCAATTTGTGGCCAAGTAGAAGCGAGAAAAATTTCAAATGACGAATTATATTGTTGTTCAAAAAATACTAAGAATTGTTATCCTTTTTCATCTGACTGCTTTGGCAGCGATTATCAAGTAGCCCAATGCCATAATCTCACTAGGCTTGATGCTTGTAAACGAACTGATTTGGCTGCAGTCCAAGTCTGTGGAGGTTTGCAAAATAGTTTATTTTGCTTGTCTGTAGATGCAATTTCAAGAAGGGATACAGACTATAATCGCTTTTCCAAAGCTGCTGAATGGATAGTGAATCGCAGTACCGAAGCCGAATCAAATAACATAACGGTTTGTGATGATGGAACTAGTTACCAACCATGTAATGATGGTACACCTAACGGAACTATTGCTATTTTGTCTTGTGGGGATTTATTTAAAAGTGAACTACGATGTAATTGGAGTAATCTTACTATCAATGATGGCAAAAAAATCGCAGACCTTCCCCGAAAACCCGTAACAGAATTATGCACTACCACTGTAGTATGTCACGATAATACTGCTTTAATTATTGGCTTAGCCACTGGTGTAGGCGTTCTGGGAATAATAGTTATTGCTTTAGTAGCTTTATTTATTCGCAAGTTGCAAAAGAGAGATATTCACGTTGATAATATTTCTAATCATTCGTCTTCCGACAGTGATGCTCCGTAGTTTTCAAAATAAAGATGTTTTTTTATTAGCCTCACTTACTAAAATTATTATCGTTATGTATAAATATGTGTAGAACCCTATATATTTTTAACAAAGTTTTCGCTAGCTATACAGAATCTGTTATTAATTTTTGTTTTTCGAATTTATTATAACTACCACAATACATAATTTGTGAAATCCATTACCACTTGGTCAAATGGAAAACGTGTTTAACGATGATTGGCAGAATTTAATTTTGACATAAAACAAGTGGACTGAGTTTGAATCTCACTGTCATCCAAATAAATATTTCCGCATTTGTGGGTAGGATAAAGCGGAATAATATCAAATTCATTTTGTTTTTACTATTTCATATTTACATTTGAATTGATTCACATAGAATTTACTGATAGAACTATGTACGGAATTTAATTTTGCCTTACACTAAGGTTACAGTGTTCATTTTTTCCTATACACAGTCGGGGACAAATTCATAGTCTTAATTGGCATAGATTATGCACCACTCTAAAAGTTTCACAATGCAACGAACAATGTACATACAATATAGACAATCAAAGTTTAAGTGAAGTTTATTTTTTAACTACTCGAGTTCTATGAATGATAAAAAATTGAAATTGCATAAATAGTTACGAGAACTTAGTACAAAATCGTATAATTTTTATATAAGCGTAATTAGCAAAAATGAGTGTTCCAAAAATTTCGATCAATTACTGTATTTCAATTAGGTGAAGACATCACGTATAGCGTTCTACGTATTCTATGTGCCAGATTTTCTCAAAATAGGTATAATGATAACGATAATCTTATTGTTGTTGAAAACATGAACTTTATAGTCAAATTTGTACACATAACAATGACATATCATATTCTTTGACTACAGTACAGTATAACGACAACGATAAAGTTCATGTTTTTAATTTGTGTTGCATTAACGCACTAATTATCTTATTACCTATTTTGTCTGTTAACGTTAGAAACCAGCTTTTCTATTATCGTTATGTAATATAGGTAAATTAAACTTAAATTTTCTACAGAGGGGGCATTTTGATTCTAGATTTTGCGATTATCAATAAAAGTTTATCTAGCGCTAGTATTATTGTTTCTAATTATACAGGTCAATTCTTTGTTCGTCCTAAAATGGGAAAATTGGACATTTATTTTTAACTTCTTAATACATATAGAAAATCAATACTTGATACGCCCTTCTTCCGCGTCAAGTCAAGCTTAAACGTGGTTCGGCATACTACTAATACAATTAAGTACCACCTCTTCTGAAAGATTCTCCCATTCCTCAACTAATGCGATGAAACCCTCCAGTGACACACTTCTTTTTTGTGCCATTATTTTTTCCATATTTCGCTTCAACATTTTTGATCGGATTAAGATCGGGGCCACGGAAGAACGCGATCGGGTAGTCTGACTTCGAGATCATATTTAACGTCGTTTGAGATATGCTTCAGATCGTTATCTTGCTGGAAAATCCAGCGTCAACGATCGTCCTATCGTTATTGTAATTAGTGCAACATGAACTTTATCGTTATACTATTTTAATCGGTCAAAGAGGGGTTTTTACGCAACTGGGATGAGAGCTAGACTGAATTATTTACGAGTAAAGG